AGAGAGAGAGAGAGAGAGAGAGAGAGAGAGAGAGAGAGAGAGAGAGACCTGACCAGGCCCTCCAGGCCAGCGTGAGAGAACAGCACTAGGGAGAGTTGATCAAGGAATAGTATCAACAAGGTCCACTTGACTGTCACAGACCCAGAGCCTCAGGTTTGGGACAAAGCTGGGCTGACTGATGGCTCCAGAGGAAGATTTGGGTTTGATGTTCTGCCTCAGGGTCTTCTCTGTCCCTAAATTTATCTTCAGGTTCACATTCTCTAGGGGCTGCATTGAAGTTGCCTGGGTCCCTAGAGGTGACAGGTGACCAGAACCGCCTCCCAAAAAAGTGAGGAATGAAGGGCTGTAGGGTAAGAAAGGAGATTCAACTCCCAGAGACAGTAGGAGAAAGCCCTGTATACTTCCAGACAAGACAAGAAGGAGTTGGTGTTGGGGAGCACCAGCCATGTGGGGGCCGGTATTGGTTACTTTTATCAGCCATCTATGTAGTCCTGGCTGTGCACACCACCAGAAAACTGACCCTTTGGCTAGAACCAGGACCAGAGGGGTTAGGATTTCCTTCAGCTACCCAGCCAGATCTTGGGAGGAATTCTGTTTGCCTAATGATTCAGAGAAACAAACAAGCTCAGGAATGCTTCAAATCATGGCAGCCCCGCCGCAAAATCAAATTGACGCTATTCTTTTTACCTCCGATGCTGGGGTGCAGTCCCTGGCCCCAGGCAGGCTAAGCCAGCTCTCAGTTCCTTCCGGGCAGGGCGAAACAGAACCCCCGTGGCCATTGCTTCAGCATATCTCTCCCTCGGACCGTCCCAAATAAAGCTGGAGAAATTTAAGATCCTTTTATCCCTTATCAAGGAAGTTCTTGGCTTGGTAAAGATCCACTGTCCAGCCTGCCCTCTCTGTCAACACCAGAGATAATTCCTGAAAGTGGCAGAGCTGCCCAACCATGCAGGGGTCGTCTCCTTCCACAATTGGTGTCACTTCCTGCCAGCTTGGAAAAATGGTCCCACAAAGCACAATCAACCAAGAAGATGTGGTTCCCTGTCCCCAAATGCCAGCTTGTAATCAATGGCAGTAGGCTCAGCCCAGACCCAGGCTATCAGGACACCCATGTGTCATATGGCTATGGGCTAGAAGTGGCAGAGAAGCCATCAGGATCCTAAAACCTGTTGAGTTTTTATGTGTCATGATTGATACACAAATGTGTCCAAAATGACAGGCTAGGAGGTGCCACTCCACTTTGTGATGAGGAAGCAGGGATGCTTTCAAGCCCCTTGATTAGCTTAAAGTCTCTGGGATATGGGGCAATACCCCCCACCCCCACTTCCTAGGGAGGACAGAGGTGGACTGCCACAGAGTGCTTTTCCAGAGTCAAGGAGCAGTGCAGAGGATCCTGTCCTGATTTGGACTCAGTTCATCACTGGGCTGTAGTTCACCGTGCAGCAGCTCCTACAGATGAGGACCCCGAGGCACAGAGTGGATGATGGGCTGGTCTAGAGCCACACAGCTGCCAGGTACCACATGCAGGATTTCCATCTTCTGCCCAGGAAACAAGCCCTGTGGCAAAGTGCACCCCTGGATTTTCAGGGAGAGTCCTTTATCACTCACCCCCGGGAAGGAGTAAGAGAGCTGAAGGGTCTCAGGTGTGCACATTGCTGCAGGGGCATGGACTTCTCTCAGTAGAGTGAGACTGACCTGAGGGCTTCAGGGACTATGCCCAGAAACTGAGAGGGAGAAGTGTGGACAGTTAGGAAAATGCCAGCCCTGGAGCTCCAGATGCTGAGATCTGAGATCAGCTCATATGGACCAGTGATGGGCCGGACTGAGAGTCAGGCTGTAGCTGGGCTGGGGGAGGCAGGAGGCAGTAGAGTGTGTATGATACATTAATGATAAGCAGGTGTAGGTCCAAGGCTTTGCCTAAGACAAGAAAACCCCCAAGGAGTTCCTGCTACAGGTGGGAAGGGAACTGGAATATACTGCCCCAGGAAGAACTCAAGGCATCCCCAAAGCAGGGATGGACTTGGAGATGAAGGGGTCTTTGTGTGAGGGTCATGGAGTCTTGAAATGCCAGCCACATCTCCAATTCTCAAGGCTGTCCAGACTGGCTATTTTTTGCCTTACTCTGGGACTGATCCCAACGTGATCCAGCTTAATCTCCACTGAGTCACCAGGCTAGCCTGCCAGGATCAAGGGGATATCAGATACTGGCTTCCTGTAATACACTGGGGGTGGGGGGTTTGCAGAGGTGGGACTAATAGTTAGACAACAGTGCGACAGTGATGCTCTGGAATATGGCCATGGCCTTTCCCCTGTTCTGGTCCCTAACATTTTCTTAACTCCATGGCAACGGCTGGGGTATAATCCTTCCTTGCCTGATTGTAGTGAGCCATTCACTTATCAGCTCCTGAAGGGAGGGCTCCAGCCCAGCCCAGGCCCAGTCCCTGAGCTGAGTGACTTCAGGGGCCAAAGGAAGGCTCTGGGCCACTGCCCTGGCCCCTTGCCCTTTGCTTCCATGTGCCCAGTGCTTTTACTGTATGTCCTTTAGGACAGTGTCCTTTAGACTCCAGTAGCTGAGCACAGCCCCCATCCATGATCCATCCTGCAAGTCAGGCCTTGTCACCCTGCTCCCGTACCTGTCCTTGATCAGAAGCTGGGCAGGTTCAGTTCCAGTGTGGAAGAAGGGGCAAGGAGCCAGCCAGTCTGGCTGGAGCCTACTGTAGGTGTCAGACTGAGGCTGGAGGCAGGGGGCCAGAAGCAACTGGACCCTTACTGAGTGGATATGTGAATCCTGAATGCTGAGACTGCTAAGGCTCTGGGAGAGCACTGGGACCTGTCAATGGTATGTCTAGGTTGAATATGCGTGGGAACAGCCACCAAGCCTGGTAGCTGGTGCCCAGTGGCTGAAGTGCCTAGAACTGGATACTTAAGGAAGATCAGCATCCACATGGCTATAACAGAACCCAGCAGCCACACAGGCCTGCTCCCCAGAGTAGCCCTGAGAATCTTTCTGTATGCTATGGCCTAGAGATAGTCTTGTCTGTGAGGTGGTCAAGGGATCAGCTTACTGAGGTTTAACTCAGTCTTAGACACTAGGCATGATATCCATCAAAGCAAGGCTGATAACTCATAGGGCCCAGAGGTCAAGATGTGATGTGAGCCTGCTCCTTTGTGTTGGGCCATAAATCCTGCTGGCTAAGGAGCCTCCTGCTTTGCTAAGGGTGAGGAAGGCATGCCCATGGTCATGTGCTGTGCTCAGTCTGGGGCACCTGAAACTCCTTATGGACTCTTCAGCAGCACTGGTTCTAAATCATACTGTCCAGACACTCAGCCATCGTTAGCCTTGTCTACTTAGCCTGGCCCACAGCAAGGCCTCACTGTCGACCTTTCTCCAGGTTTCATGTTCTGTGCTAAGGCCAATCCAAGCTCTGCAACAGTTGGTGGTTGGTGCAGGGGGTTGTCATGTATCTAAGGCCCAGCCCTCTAACTGATACATCCCATTACCACCCACATCTTTTCCTGTGTGTCTGCTCATTCATTTATCCTTCAGCACACTCTCTCATTCACACACTCACTCTCTCATTCACACACTCACTTCTCTAGTCCATTCTTCACTTACTCATTGACTCATCCATTCATCCATCCATCCATTCACTCATCCACACTTATTGATTGATATAGCCATCCATTCATTCACTCAGCTGTCTACTCACTTTTGCATTCATTCATCTGGTTTTGCTCATTGATTGATTCACCAATTCACTTATTAGTCTGTTCATTCACTCATTCATTTGCTCATTTACTAACTTTCTTCACTGATTCACTCATTCACTTAGCCACAGTTTCTCTGGGCCCTCACACTTCTGTGATGTGTGAGGTGCCCTCTCTCTCTCTCTCTCTCTCTCTCTCTCTCTCTCTCTCTCTCACACACACACACACACACACACACACATACACACACACATACACACACACATTGGGATCAAGGCATGGCGTGCATAAAGGGCAGTACAGGGAACCACGTGCCCAGGATAGGCTTGAGGTGGGTCTCAAGGGAAGCCAGAAGCAACCAGAAAGTTCAAACATAGCTCTTTCTTTAACCTTTGACCTCTCTCCGGCAGGGAGAGGGCCAGCATCTCTTCTTCTACTGTCATCTCTCCCTTGGTAGGGTTCGTTTACCTGTGGGCAACAGAGCTGCTGACATTGGTTGAGGGAGTCTGGCTACTGGGGAGCAGTGTCCAGTTCAATTCCTAGTAGCCCAGAGAGAGTCCAGAATCATCCATCCCAGGTCTGGGCAAAGACTCATGCATGATGCTCTCTCATCTGGGCATCAGGACATGAGCACAGGCTCCTCTAGGCAGAGTCAATAGCATCTCTCCAGCTCAGTGGGCATTAAATGCCTTGACTTCTGGCATCCAGAGCCATTGGTGGGTATTAGCCTCTGCTGCAGCTGCTCACTTGGGTCTGGGAACTTCAAGTATAGCCCAGGATTCGGGGAGTATGAAGCTGGGTAATGGTTGCTCTGCAGGTTAGTAGTTTTGAGCTCCTCTCCAAGGAAATGGGGGATGATTGTCTAGGACAAGCTCAGGGGGCAGCATTTGCTCAGGCAGAAAGATGTGTCTATTAAGATACCAGGAACTCATGGCTTAGAAGGTGGCTTGGGAAAGTCTGGGTGGGTTCTGCTTGGGGAGGAGTACACAGGTGAGATCTGGGGGAGCCTCGGGGAAACCAGGCTCCACCTTCCGGCACACCCACCCCTGACTGCTGCCACTGACCAGCCTGAAGTGACTGAGTGCTCACTGTTTACCTGGGTAAGGGGAACCACAGGCCTGCCCCACCCACCCACGTGAAGCCACTGGGGCTGGAGCCAGCTCTTGGACTACAAAAGGCAACTGGTGACTAGAGTCTTTCCTCAGAGGCTGCCAGTGGGGACATTTCCCCATGCTCCAGAGCATGGGTGTCGGCCGGAGAAAGTTGGTTCCATTCTGGGTCTTAGCCCTGGCCCTGGCCTGCAGCCAACACACAGGTAAGACTCAAAGGGTCCAGCTTTCCCAGGCCATTTAGAGATAACTTCTTCATTCCCCTATGCCCTGGACTCAGGTGGGCAGTTCAGAGTCTTATCTGGTTCTTGGCAAACTATACGTGTCTGTGAGAGAGTCCTGCCATGCAGCCCTTGCCTAAGACCTGGTAACTTCAAACAGTCTCTGACTTAAGAGGCAGGGAAGTAACTCTGACGTGCAGGGGTTTGAGGCTGGACATCCAATGTGTGGGGAAACAGAAGGCTATGTCTCAGAGCACCCCAAACTGGCCAGGGCAGGCTCTCAGCCTGCTCATATGCTCACAACCCTTTTTTGGCAAAGCTTTACAAGAAACCATGGGCTACAGGTGTCTTAGGCACAGCGGGGAGTCCTGGAGATGTGGTTTCTCTTAGCCTGGCCCTAGCAATAGGTGGAGGTACCAGGAAACTAGACTTAAGGTGCAAGCCAGTCCCAACTTTGCTCAAACCCTCTTGTGTAGGTATGAGGGTGGGCTGTTCACCCACCATTAAGTTGACTTTGCATCAGGTCATTAACTAGTGATATATTATGTCTCTTCCTCTATCTGCTTACTGGTGGCCAGCAGCCTGAGCTGCCTGAGGCACTTGTCTGGCTCTCAGCTCAGGCTGATCTCCTCTTCTGCAGGCCAGGCCCAACAGGACACTCTGAAATCTTACCATGAACACCGCTCTGACTCTTCTCACCCTCAAGGGCATGTTGGTGAGTCTTAGCCTTTTTTCTCCATTAAGCCTGCCAGGTCCCCACTACTCTACCATAGTGTGGCCTTGGGTCTCCCAGGGGTTCTTGCCTTAATAGATCCTCAGATAGCGCACTGAGGAGCTGAATGGCTATGGTCAGCTACCTCCTGTTCCCAACGGATCCAGCCCATGGAAGCGCCACAGACATCCATGCTTAGGCTCTGGAGGGAGCTACAGGAAGTCTGTCAGGTTGACTGGGCTATGTCTTGTGCAGCACAGGTTCATTGTTCCACCCACATAGAGCCTACCTCTGTCTCTTTTGGTTTGATTAACCTATTTCAACACCACACTCACCTTTTGTGTCTTGACCCTAGGAGCTGGGGAGTCAGCTACATATACCAAAGTAAGGAGTCTTGCAAGGCCCCAGGGGCCAGCTGACACCTTGCACTTTGCATTTACTCAAACTGGCTAAAAAGGGAAGGGGGTGAGAGGTTGAGCCGCTGGCCTAGATTCTGACATTGGTGAGGATCAGGACACAAGCCCCACGTGCGAACAGAAGGTTCTGGGCTCTGAGGGCACTAGAGGATGATGACTTCAGAGGTCCATGAGAGAAGAGAATGCTGGCTGTAGGCCTCAGGCTGTGTCATGCATCCAAGCTGGACTGGAGACCTGGGAGTCTGCTTCTCCTGGCTCTGTGCCCTTAGCCTCTCCCTCTGGGGCACAGTGACCCCATGACCTCACTGTGCACCCCATGATCTACTCTCCTGCCTCCATAGGTACCCCGCCTCTGAAGACCATTCCGGTGGTACGAGGTGAGTGAACCCCAAAGTGTACCTGGGAAAGAGGCCTGCTTAGCTGGGGTACTCTTTCTTAGGCCTTAAGAGCTACTTAGACAAGGGTACTTGGTCCTGGATAGTATTTAAGCATAGGAATGGTTGAGAAGGGTATCCAAAGCTGTTGGGAGCTGGTTCCGGGCCTTCCTAAGTCAGATAGGATCTCAGATGCCCACTGTGGGCAGCAGCCTCTCTGATCCAAACGGTACATGAAAAAAGTACCATGTGAAAGGCAGAACATGGAGGGCACATCAGGGCTCTGGGACCAGAATAGTGCCTTCAAAGCCTGTCATTGCTTTGGTCCACAGCCCTCAACCCAGAACATACCAGGCGGGTCTGCAGCACATGGGGCAACTTCCACTACAAGACCTTTGATGGACAGGTCTTCTACTTCCCTGGTCTCTGCAACTATGTGTTCTCTGCACACTGTGGGGCTGCCTATGAGGACTTCAATATCCAGCTTCGTCGTAGCCAGGAGTCTAATTCCGCCACACTGAGCAGGGTCATTATGAAGCTGGATGGCCTAGTTGTTGAGCTGACCAAGAGTTCTGTCCTAGTCAATAATCACCCGTGAGTCTGGGGCAGTATTGTATGGGTGATGGAGGTACTTGGTGGTATTTCAGGGTTTTGAGAGGCACTGAGATTTTTAACAAGACTCAACTCGCAGGGGCAAACCCTATGCTAGAGATGCCCCTTAAACCCTTCCTCAACACTGGCATTCCAGGTCTGTGTCTTTGTTACACACATGGCTGTAAGGATCTCACCTGGGGTCTCCTTTGTCTCTGTGCCCCTTGGTACCTTATCCCTACTCTCTCTTACAGGGTCCAGCTGCCCTTCAGCCAGTCTGGGGTCCTCATTGAGATCAGCAATGGCTACCTGAAGGTGGTGGCTAGGCTGGGGCTGCTCTTCATGTGGAATGACGATGACAGTCTTCTGGTGAGGGGGAGTAGAGACTCCTGCTGGTGGGGGATAGGCAGAGGTGAGGGTGGGCATAGCCTTCTGGTAAAATGGGGCAAAAAGATGGAGCCCCTTAGTGAAATCAGGAGGTGGGTAAGGAGTGGGGGCATAGGTCTGACACAGTTGGGGAAGGTGAGCATCCAGATATCAACAGAGCCTCAGGGTCTTTGCCCCCAGACACAGATCCTGTGTATTTGGGATGGTTTCTTGAGCCCTGCTCTGAGTCAAGCCTTCATATGACTGATGGGGGTGGTCTTTAGGTTTGTGTCTCCTCTGAGAACCCTCACCCTCTTTTTGGGAGTCTATATTTTACATCTTGAGGTGTCTATAGTGGGAACAAGTGTCTGATGTCTTCTCCAATTTCAGCTGGAGTTGGACACCAAATATACCAACAAGACTTGTGGTCTCTGTGGAGACTTCAATGGGAGTCCAATATCCAGCGAGTTCCTTTCCCACAGTAAGTCCCCAAGCAATGCCCCCGAGGCCCCAAGAAACTTAGTCTCTCAGTATTTCAGACAGTGTATCTCTATGTGTATGCAAAAAAAAAAATGCTCACTCTCTCACAAATTGCATGTGTCTGCTGCCCACACAAGCACACATATGCACATATGCTTCCCTCCCACAATTCCAGCTCATGCATAAGTGCACACAGACACATCTGCACATAGCCATACTTGTGTGTATGTATACTCTTGACACACTGCTACACCTCACAGGTACATCCGGGGAACAAGATGCCCGGCAGAGCTCTGGTTCTTGATACCCCTATTCTGGGGACACAGACCCTCATGTGGAATCATCCTTGCTTCTTTCAGGCCTGAGAGGGTCACGTGTCTTTACCATCATGTAATGGAATCACAAATGTGGTTGTGTCATCCAGATACTCCCACACCTCTCCCTCTTCCAGTCTCCCTAAGTCCCATGTAAGCTGTGGGTGGGAACCTATCCATGCATGTCTGCTCCTGTCAGACGATGCTTTGTATAGGCTAGCAGGGATCACAGGACCACATGGACATTCTCAGTGGGAAACCCTTTGGGCTTGGCCATTGAGGTGATGGGCAGAGAGCCTGGGATCTGCAGACAGCTGCTCTGGACTTCCTGCAGATGTTAGGCTGACACCCCTTGAGTTTGGGAACCTTCAGAAGATGGATGGCCCTACAGAACAGTGCCAGGACCCCCTCCCTGTGCCCCAGAAGAACTGCTCCACCAGATCTGTGAGGCTTGAGAGGAATGGGTGGGCAGGGTGGGGAGGAGGGCTGTGGGATCTGGGCTAACCCAGGTGCTTCTGGGAAGCCTGAGGTCTGAACTCAGCATGGGTTCCTGCCATTGTCCAGGGAGTCTGTGAAAAGATCCTGAAAGGTGAGCTGTTCTCAGACTGTGCAGCCCTGGTGGACATCAACAGCTACCTGGAGGCTTGCCAGCAGGACCTCTGTCTCTGTGAGAGCTTGGATCCATCTGACTGCATCTGCCATACTCTGGCTGAATATTCCCGGCAGTGTGCACATGCTGGAGGACAGCCCCAGGACTGGCGGGGTCCCAACCTCTGCTGTAAGTGCCCTCAGCCTCATCTCCCCATCATAGCATCATCCAGCCAGTGAGTGGGACCTGACTTGATACGATCTTTCTTTCTGGTCTTCTTGCAGCCCAGACGTGTCCCCTCAACATGCAACACAAGGAATGTGGCTCACCCTGTGTGGACACCTGCTCCAATCCCCAGCATTCCCAGGTCTGTGAGGACCACTGTGTTGCTGGCTGCTTCTGTCCTGAGGGTAAGATGAAGTCTCCACCCCAACCCCAACCCCAGACCTCCAAAGCACACAATTGCTTTGGTGGTCAGGCTGCTGTTGTTCAGCCTTGGTGAAAGATCCCTATGACCCTGGCCCAAAGTGTCTCTGTGCTATTGATGTTTCTTGGGGTTCCTAGATGGCACCTATCACATGGACTTGCTTTCTATAGGTATGGTGCTTGATGACATCAACCAGACAGGCTGTGTCCCCGTGTCCCAGTGTGCCTGCCTGTACAATGGGACATTTTATGCACCTGGTACCAGTTACTCTACTGACTGCACCAAGTGGTACGTTTTGGGTTCCCCATCCAAGACCCTGACATATACTGTCTTCCTCGGGATTTGTAGACTTGTTAGGTCCCAGGCTACTATGGGAAGGAGCCTTCAGTTTGTTGTTCCTGGGACTAGTATATAACACGTCTGTCCGTCTTCTTTCTACCTGTAGCACATGCTCGGGAGGTCAGTGGAGCTGCCAGGAAGTCCCATGCTCTGGCTCCTGCTCCGTAATGGGAGGCTCCCACATCTCCACATTTGATGAAAGGCAGTACACAGTACATGGGGACTGCAGCTACGTGCTGAGCAAGGTGAGGTCTGTGTTGTCCTTGGGCTTCTGACTTTGGGAGCTGCACCAAGCCAAGGGCCTCCCCAGGTATCTCCAACCTAGGCTTCCCATCACTGCTGCACCAGGGAGACCTTGAGGGACTTCATGGTAAAACTGTGAGGAAATACTTTTGCCTGTTGGCCAGGGCTTTATGGAGTCAGTCAACTGTCGATTAAACCTCTAGTTCGGAATGACCCCCTGCTCATTGCTCTGGCCCTTGTCTTTTTAAAAGAGACTTAGTATTTTATTTACCTATTTTACTTATGTGTATGCACGTGTGTCTCTGTGTGTGCATGTGCATGGTGCCATGGAGGCCAGAGAAGGCATCACATTCCTTGGAGCTGGAGTTACAGGTGGTTGTGAGCTACCTGATGTATGTGCTGGGCTCTGTACTTTGGCCCTTTGCAAGAGCAGCACACAGTCATCGATCCATCTCTCCAGCCCATCTTGTTTTCTTTTTGGAAGAGTTTTATGTTTACAAATAAGTTAAATAGGAAGTCCAGGGAATTCCTAAACCTCACCAACCCTGGCAGCCTCCCCTGTGCTAACAGTTTGCTTTAGAATGATGACGCATTGGTTACAACCGACGATGAAAAACAGTCAGCCATTACTGTCCACGCAGAGTCCGTCAGGGTCACTCATGAACATGCCCCAGGATTTCACAAATGTGAGATGTCCTGTATCTACTACTGTAGTGTCATCTAGGAGTTCACTATGCTCATCCTAGACTGCACCTGACCATCTCCCTCTCCACTATGGAAACCACTGATCTTAAAAAAAAAAAAAAGACAAAACACAACCGTTTTCCTTTTAAAAACATTTTTATTTACTTTTTGAAAGTTTCATAAGTGTACGCAATGTGTTTTGATCATCCCCCTTCTCCCCAACTCCCAACTCCCCTCAGTCTCCCTCTCAACTTTTAGAATTACTGCACTCAGTAGGTACATTGAGCCCCCTTGTTGGGGGATAGGGAGACTCACGGCATGTGCTCCTAGGAGCACCTTGGATTCAAATGACTGCTTCTTAGAATCTATGACAGTGGTGGACTGGGGATTTTCAACAAGGAGAGGTAGCATGTGCTGGAGGAGGGAGAGGATGAAGTGGACAGGGGTTTGAGCAGTGTCTAAGGACCTGTGTCATCCCCTGCAGCCCTGTGACAGTAATGCCTTCACTGTGCTGGCTGAGCTGCGGAAGTGTGGATTGACTGAAAGCGAGACTTGTCTGAAGACTGTGACATTGAACTTGGATAGGGGGAAGACGGTGAGTATTGCAGGGAGAGCTGGGAGAAGTATGTCCTGGGAGGTGGAAAGAACATGTTCACATTGCCAGTCACCTCTGCCTAGTCCCTGGATTCACATCCTGAACAGTGGGCACATCCACTATCTGTGAGTATTTGGAGACTACCCTTAGGTGGAACATTGTAGGTGTTTGACTCTGGGGCTCCTGTAATTGCACCAGTTGGACCCAGGAAAGAAGACTCAAGCATTTCTATCCAGTACAACTTCTCCATTGAAGCTATTTTTTTTATACATTTGTTTCTGTTTTTATATTACGTAAGATATGATTCTTTTGAAAGTTTAGAAATTCAGGGTTAGTATGGGGACTGAAATTGGAACACAAGTTTACCTCATGGGGACTACAGCTTTGTAGCCCAAGGTCTCCTAGACCTAGCGAGCACACTTCACAGCCTGTTGGGTTACCAAGGGACAGTGAGGGACAGTATGTCCCATACTGATGCCCTTGGGTCTGGAATTGGTTCTAGGTGGTCATGGTGAAAGCCACTGGAGAGGTCTTTGTGAACCAGATCTATACCCAGTTGCCAGTGTCTACAGGTGAGGTCTGCTTGCGTGAGTCTGAATGTGTCTCTCTTCATCTCATGGGCCATCCCTCACCTTGAAATCCTTGTCTTCTGCTCACAGCCAATGTTACCTTCTTCCGGCCTTCAACCTTTTTCATCATTGGTGAGACCAACCTGGGTTTACAGCTTGAGATTCAGCTGATTCCCATTATGCAAACGTCTGTGCGTCTGACACCTGAGTTCAGGGGGCTAACCTGCGGTAAGAAGCACTGACTCTAGGGCTGAGCCCATTCCATCTTAGAGCTCAATTGGGGACTCAACCTACTCTTCTGCCCCCAGGGCTCTGTGGTAACTTCAACAGTATGCAGGCTGATGACTTCCAGACCATGAGTGGTGTTGTGGAAGGCACAGCAGCTGCTTTCTTCAACACCTTCAAGACTCAAGCGGCTTGTCCCAATGTCAAGAATATCTTTGAGGACCCCTGCTCGCTCAGTGTGGAGAATGGTGAATTTGTCTATTTATTTGTTTGTCTGTGCTCTGTTGAATGCCAAGGGGTGTGTTTAGTTGGTTTCATTTGTGATCTGGTTATTTCCTAAGAAACATTTTTCTCAACAAACTCTGACTTGGCTTGGTGTCCAGCTGTCTACCCTGAAGTGATGAATAAGTAAACTAGTGTGTACTGTATTGTGTCAATCACACATTAAGGAAATCCCAGAGAGGGCACTAAAATGTGTATATGTCATATGGAGGAACGAAAAAAAAGAAAGGAAGCTTTCTTCTGGAATAGTTTGATTCAAAGTGAGCTCAAATTTGAATCCTCCATTTCTCTTCTAGTGTTTTCCATATGACTATGTTTGTAGTCAGTAGCCTGTCTATTGTATTTGATCTGTCCTTGTTGCCTGTCTGTAACAAAAGGTTTTGCCCCATATTTATTGAGCAGCATGAAACATATGGCCTAGGGAAGCAGTGAGAAATTCCTTTTCATAGACATTTTTAACAGTTTTACAAAGAAAAAGTTATTTTACTGACCTCAGCTGACCTGGAATATCACTCAAAACTACACACAAACTTTATCAACCTGTATTTGCTTGCTGCATCCAACATTTGTGGGTTATTTGCTTTGTGTAATGCTGATTTCAACCTGTTGGATGCTTTCAGCATGTGATTAACGTAATACACTTTCCTGGGTCAGGGCATGGAAAAGGACACAATTTAAGATTAAAATTATACATTTAGCTTAGATTGTAAAAGCTAGTTATGGAAGAAGTCCAAGGTATAGCAAGGTCAGTTATATGGTTCTCTTAAAGGCAGGTTAACTTGAACAGGCTGAGCATATTATAGGATAGCAGATTGGGTACACTATCTTAAATGAGTCACAAGGCTTATTATTAACTTGACTGTAGCATCTGGAAAAAGTTCATTCTTTTTGAAGGCCAGAGGTATTTTCAGAAAAAATTATTGCTACAGTTTATGTCACATAGTATTACACATGAAACAAATGTGGATACTCCAGGGAAGGGTGGTGACCAGCGTCCATGTAGGCATTAGATGGCATTAGGATATGATGGATCTCCAGGACAGATTCAAAGATGGCAGAGACATCATTTGCTGTACACAAGCTATTGGACTTTCAGGGTAAAAAGAAAGGAATAAAACTGATTTACTTGTGACATTGTCTAACCCCTGAGTAGGGTTGAGGAGGTAGGGTTCAGTATTAGTTAGTCCTTCCCTCTTTCCTCTGTATTTTTGTCCAGAAGTCTTGACTATTTGTCCATGGCAATGGCCACTCATATTCCTAGGAGATGAGGGGTCTGGGGACATAGGAAAGAAAAGAAACAATGATTGTAACTTCTCTATGCCTCATGACCCCACATGGGTGAAACCCGTGGGCTTGGGTAAAAAATAAGTAGCTGATGGGTTCCTTTCTATCTACAGAAAAGTATGCTCAGCACTGGTGTTCTCGGCTGACTGATGCCAGTGGCCCATTTTCCCAGTGCCATGCCACCGTGAACCCCAGCACCTTCTTCTCGGTAATGCCCACTCACTGTTTCTTCAACTAGCTAGGACTCCAACACTGCATTGTGTTTGGAAGAACAAAAGACACTGGAGGGAGGCAACTGATAGGCTGCCTAGGGCAGGAATATTCTCCAAGTCTGCATCTCTGGTTTCTCTCCTGACATTCATGGCCCTTATTTTCTCATTGCGTGTTCATTGAGTTTACACCAAGTCTCAGGTCTATACTAGGAACAGAGCTAAACATGACTCTTTTGAGACGTGTGAGTCATAATACAGTAAGGAAGACAGGATGTTCTAGAGGTGGACCAGGTGGGTCACAAAGATAAAGGGCCAGGGTCTTCCCAGAATGTATGTCCTAGAGTGAAAGTTGGCTGCTTGTGAGATCTCAACATTAAAATGAACTAAAGAGGAATGGAGGATGGGGAAGTGTCCTGAGGATACCAGGCTCCTGAATGCAAGGCTGGTTCCCTGATGCCCCAGTGTTTCCATCCCCAGAACTGCATGTTTGACACGTGCAACTGTGAGAAGAGCGAGGACTGCATGTGTGCGGCCCTGTCCTCCTATGTGCGTGCCTGTGCTGCCAAAGGCGTGCTGCTCAGTGACTGGAGGGATGGCATCTGCAGTGAGTGTTCTGTGGGCAAACAACTCTCTTTCTGTACAGGCCAGGGCCCCTATCCTTTGCTTAGTAAGTGACTGGATGCTCCAAGGGTCTTATTCTTACATCAGTTTCTGAAACTAAGGGAGACCCAAGCCATTGTGATCAAGAGAACTAATCAGGAGACAGTGTCTGGGGGAGCTGAAAAGGCTTCGAACTGCTAGGTCCTCTTGTGATTGCTGGGCTATGTGTCCACCAGTGTTCTAAGTGTCCCTTTTTTCTGTTCTCACACAGCAAAGCCTACAATTACCTGTCCAAAGTCAATGACTTATCAATACCATATCAGCACCTGCCAGCCCACCTGCCGTGCTCTGAATGAGGAAGATGTCACCTGCCATGTCAACTTCATCCCTGTAGATGGCTGCACCTGCCCCAAAGGCACCTTCTTAGACGATTCGGGCAAATGTGTACAGGCTACTAGCTGTCCTTGCTATTACAAGGGATCCACAGTTCCCAATGGCGAGTCTGTGCATGACAATGGGGCCATTTGGTAAGACCCTTAGGCCTGGCAGACTGTGTTCCCAGAGGACCCTTGTCACTGTGCTCCCATGCACCTGTAGTCATGCAGACAAGGAGGACATGGTGGGGATTCACAGGGCCCGGGGTGGGTAATATTCTAAATTCCCTCTACTTGCAGCACCTGCACCCAAGGAGCACTGACTTGTATCGGAGGTCCTGCCCCGACTCCAGGTAAGCCTGGGAGAGGGCCTGTCAACTATGGGAGAATATCCAGCCAAAGAGCTGTCAGGGTTGATGCCCACCCAAGTGAACAGAGCTAGGTTGATGATCAATCTCACTGTTGTGGTTTAGTCTGTCTATTCCCCTGGGCTCCAAAACAAGGGAGATGAGGGTGCTGACGCTGTGCACACATAACCATGAAAACATCCAGTGCATTCTCAACTCACATACTACACACTCACATGCATTCTGCACGCATAACACAGATGTGCACCCTGCCCCCCACCACAGGGCAGGCAGCCAAATGCTTGGCTGTCTGGAAGCAAATGGCTAAGATATTACAGTACTGGCCTCCCTCACAGAAAGCTTGGCAGGGATGAATGGCATCTCCTCACTGGTCCCCTTCCTTCTCCAGTGTGTGACGCACCCATGATCTATTTTGACTGTCGCAATGCCACACCTGGTGACACTGGAGCTGGATGTCAGAAGAGCTGTCACACCCTAGACATGACCTGCGTAAGTGACTGGTCATTCCTTAATAACCCTTCCTAGGGCCTTCCTGATGACCCCCTCACTTCCTTGACCTCTCCTGCTGTGGTGTCTGAGGAGACCATCAGGTCCCCTCATGGCTGCTCCTAGAGCAGAGCAGCAGGGCTCTCTGATGCTGAGGGCCTTCAGGGCAGTGTGGTTAGACTGTATTCTCAGAACACCTCTGGTCTCCCTGTTGTTGAGCATCCTGTTCCCATGGTACCTGCAGTCTTGCAGACAAAAATGGACGTGTCAGCCCCAGACATCCATCCACAACCAGTCCCATTCACCTTGTCCATATTCCCTACAGTACAGCTCCGAGTGTGTGCCTGGCTGTGTGTGCCCGAATGGGCTGGTGGCAGATGGCAGTGGAGGCTGTGTTGTTGCTGAGGACTGTCCTTGTGTGCACAATGAGGCCACCTACAGGCCCGGGGAGACCATCCAAGTGGGCTGCAACAACTGGTATGTGGGGGGGGTCACAGCGGGAGAGGTGGATAGCCAAGCTATCACCAGGTACAGAGGTCCTCATTATGAATGGACTAAGCCCAAGCACAGCTTCTGATGGCATACACAGCATAGGCTCTCAAGGTGTCTAAGCTCCGTGCTTTAGTTTCCCATAAGGAGTCCCTGTAGAGCCTCTGGGAAGCTCCCCACTCTGGTGTGAGCCCTCAGCTGACCTCTACTTTCTATACAGCACCTGTGAGAACAGGATGTGGCAATGCACAGAAAAACCTTGCCTGGCCACCTGTGCTGTGTATGGGGATGGCCACTACATCACTTTTGATGGGCAGCGCTACAGTTTCAATGGGGACTGCGAGTACACACTGTTGCAGGTATGCTTGTCTGGCAGCCTCACCGTGGCCACACACAGCCCTAGGAACTCAGAACCCTTCCACATCCTGTAATGGTCTTCTTCTCCTCCAGGACAACTATGGTGGGAACGGCAGTTCCCAGGATGCCTTTCGTGTTGTCACTGAGAACATCCCCTGTGGTACTACAGGAACCACCTGCTCCAAGGGCATCAAGATCTTCCTGGGGGTGAGAAGAATTGAGCTAGCCGAACACCTTGGGGGTTACACAGTGGTGCAGGGGCACAAGGAGGGGGTGTGTTCCTGGCCAGGCCCTGAGGATCTCTTGCCATGCAGAACTATGAGCTGAAGTTGAGCGACAGCAAGATGGAGGTGGTCCAGAGGGATGAGGGGCAGGAGCCCCCCTACTTCGTCCACCAGATGGGCAACTACCTGGTGGTGGAAACCGACATTGGCCTGGTGCTCTTGTGGGACAAAAAGACCAGCATCTTTCTCAGACTCAGTCCTGAGTTCAAGGTGAGGCTGAGCGAGGAAAGCATATTTCTGTTATCCCTCTCAAGGGCTGGGACACACATGGGGGTGGGGAGATGAACAGAGAGAGACAGAAACACATAGAGATAGAGAGAAAAGTAAGACAGAGAGACAGAAAGATTGAGAGAGATAGTCAGCGATGGACAGAGAGAGTGAGAGAGATCAAGAGACACATGCAAAGAGACAGATACAGAGAAAGGCAAAGAGAGACAGAGAAGGGATTGGGGAGATGGCTCAGTAGGTCAAGGCACTTGCTGAGAAGCTTGATGACCTCAGGCTAGAGGTTAATCCCGGGGACCCACATGGTAGAAGAACTGACCTCTGAAGCACTGTGGGACATGCATAACACACACACTCACACACACACACACACACACACACACAAAATTAATGAAATACATTTTCAAGACATAGAGGGAGGGATGGATGGGAAGAACCTTTAGGATAGCAGTGTGGAAACCCCCAGCTGTGTATGTCTTGTGGGTTTTGTAACAAATGACCACAAACGGGGTGGCCAGTTCTCTTTTGTATCTGGACCCTGGAAGCCCAAGTGATGTATGGTACGGCTGCGACCCCTCTGGAGGCTCAGGAGGATCTTTCTGGCTCTTTTGCCTTTGGAGCTTCAGGTATCCTTGATTGTGGCTTCATTGTCCTAGTCTCTAGCTCTGCTGTCACCTGGTTTTCCCCTATGTGGTTGTGTCTATATTTTTTCTCTTTGATAAGGACTCTAGACAGGGGACCCAGAACCTACCCTGCCTTCATGGAGCCTCATGTTGCTTGAACACATCTTCAAAGATTCTGTTTCTAGGAAGGCACTGCTCACAAGCATCAGGGTTAGAACAGGGGCAAATATGGGCCCACTGGCCAGATCATGGTAGCGTTTTGAACTGCTATCCAAGATAAGCTCTAAGCTGACTGACTGCTGTGGCCCCGTGCTCACCTGACAAAGTGACTGAGAACTGGTACTAAAGTCAATGTAGAGGGAAGGACAGAACAGCCTCATGGAAAAAATGGGGTTAGAGGTTTCCTAAGCTGCCAAGCTGGGAGATTCATAGGCCTCCTAGAAAGTCATGGGCAGGGGGGCGTGGCCTGGGGCAGACACAAATGGGCACAAGCACCATGCACTACCACTGAACACCACAGGGGTTGCCTTCCACACCCACACTTGCTGCTTTTCCTGGACTCATCCTTCAGGAAGTTGTGTGAGAGTAGAGCAGATCAGATATCAGGGTAAAGGATGTGGGCTCTGTCCCATGGCTCTAATCTCTGTGTTTCTCTACAGGGCAAGGTCTCTGGCCTGTGTGGGAACTTTGACGACAATGCCATCAATGACTTCACCACACGCAGCCAGTCTGTGGTCAGTGATATGCTAGAGTTTGGAAATAGCTGGAAGTTGTCTCCATCCTGCCCGGATGTCCTGGTGTCCAAGGACCCCTGCACTGCCAACCCTTACCGAAAGTCCTGGGCCCAGAAGCAATGCAGCATCATCAACAGTGCAACCTTCTCTGCCTGCCATGCTCATGTACGGCCATGGGGCAGGGTGGTCTATGGACCTTAGGATGGAGAAGCCATCGGCCCAGGGCATGGGTGTCTGGGGCTCAGGGGCCCACGTGCATATACCAGAATGGGCTATTGTTTGGGGGTTGTTGACCCTGAACATGGACTGAGGGAGCTTCAGGCAGCTCCATGATCAGGGCCACCCTATGCATGCTATGATGGTCTGGCTGGACATTCATGGTCATACATTTGTCACCGTGGACACTAGTAGAATCTAGTCTGAACAATTAGGCCAGTTTGTGCACTAAGAGATGGGGGAGGCAGGAGGCCCCCAGAGCCTGATGCTTTTGTCTCCTTCAGGTGGAGCCGGCCAAGTACTATGAAGCTTGTGTGAGTGATGCCTGTGCCTGTGACTCAGGAGGTGACTGCGAGTGTTTCTGCACTGCTGTGGCCGCCTATGCCCAGGCCTGCCATGAAGTGGGAGTGTGTGTGTCCTGGAGGACACCAGACATCTGCCGTGAGTGGGACTTTGTCTGTGCTGCTGAAGGGTGGGTCTGGGGGTGAGGTGGGTGGCAGGCTTCTCTGTTCCTCCTGACTTGGTTCTGGCCAATGTGTGTGTGTGTGTATATGCACACACACATGCACACACATACACATTCACACGTGTGCGCACACACATGCACACATACACACACACACACACACACACACACACACAAATACACTGAGGGGGAAGAATGACATTACCAGCCCTGTGGCCCCCCTCCATGCACACCTGCTAGAACCCGAGTGGCCTGAGCTTCAGCTAGGAGGGAGAACAAACACTGTTGCCTTAGGCATAGCTGGGAGGGAGGGCACCACTGTGTGTGCATGTGTGCGCGCACACACATATGTCCTGTACACTCAAGTGCACAAACACTGTGAGCACTCAACAGGTGGCTCTATTGTGAGCAGCTCCAAGGGCTGGGAACTGCCAGGGCTGGGCTATGACATCTGCTGTAGACTAGGGTTCCAGGCAGGCGAGGCCAGCTCTGTATATTCATCAGGATGTATTGAAGGGCCAATAGTTTCCTGAGACAAGAGAAACAGAAATGAGGGTGGGCAGCTGGAGGAAGAAGCAACCCAATGGAGGGATCAGAACCCCTTCTTAAGCACAGTCCACGTGCAGCCTGGAGGAGCGGCATGGCTGAGAGCAGCTGCTGTACCTGGAGAGCCCCATTTGATGATTGCTGCTCCGGCACTCCCATTAGCCAGAAACCTTTATCTGAGTTACTGTTTCCCAGGGCGGGGTGGGAAATGGCTTAGCAGACCCTAGGCATAGGCTTATCCCGCAAATCTTTCCATTTTCCAGCACTGTTCTGTGACTACTACAACCCAGAGGGTCAGTGTGAGTGGCACTACCAGCCGTGTGGTGCCCCCTGCATGCGCACCTGCCAGAATCCTACTGGACAGTGCCTACAAGATCTTCGTGGTCTGGAAGGTAGATTGAAGGCTGAACTGAGAAGGGCAGGATCTGTTGGGTTCCTAGGATCAGGACTGGGGTCTATCCTGGGATCTAAGGCCTGGGATCTTCTTATTCTTCCTGATCCCACTAGGAGCCTTTATGGTTTCAACCTCAAACACTAGTGTTGTGGATGAGGCTGGTGCCAGGGGACAGACCTGGGCCCTGGGGTGAGAGGGCTCTGGGAAGACTTTGCCTGGGACTCAGGTCTCTTGGTCCACAGGCTGCTACCCCAAGTGCCCACCAACAGCCCCCATCTTTGATGAGGGCACGATGCAGTGTGTATCCAACTGTACAGTCACCCCCTCACCTCTTCCGCCACATCCCTGCCGCATCAATGGAAAGTTGTACTGGCCAGGTGCATCAGTACCTTCAGACAAAAACTGTTATTCTTGGTAAGTCACTCAGCCAGAGTAACATATAACCTGAAACACTGTGGGGAATTCAAACTAACCTTATTTATAGTACCAGCCTGGGGTCTAGAAGTACTCTCAGTTGGAGATTGACCTGAGGGGAAAAGATGATATTATCACCCCTGTCCCCCCCCACCCCCGTATCTGCCCCCTCACATGCACACCTGCCAGAACCCCAATGCCCTGAGCTTTAGCTAGGAGGGAGAACACTGTTGCCTTAGGCTGAGCTGGGAGGGAGGGTGCCCTTGGCTTGAGGCTGGGCTGACAGGGAGGGCATCCTTGGCTTGAGACTGAGCTGGGAGTGAGGGCACCCTTGGCCTGGGGATTTCAAACGAGGGGAGGGCAACCTCAGCATGGGGCTCAGGTTAGAGGAAGGGTACCTTTGGCCTAATGCTCATCTGGGAGGGAGGACACCCTTGGCCTAAGATCCACTTGTGTGTGAATGTGATGTGTCCTCATTCCAGATGTCCTCCCAGGGATGAGGGGACAATGTCCATCAAAGTCCACATTGCCTCCATTGGTTATTGACTGGGGTGATGTTTGAGAGTGTGTGACCTTAGTACAGCAGAGGGTTCCAGCTTGGGCTGTGACAGGCTGTTACATCGCCAACACTAAGCACAGCGGGTTCTGCAGATGGTTCCAGTTCCTGTGTGCTCAGTCCCACTTCTTGTTTCTCTTGACAGCATTTGTACGGAGAGTGGTGTGCACTGTACCTATGATGCTGGTGGTGAGCACCTGCAGCTCTGTCTGAGCTGGAGAGGGGGTGGGGGTGGGGAATTCATTGCCAGCACTTTAGCACACTCTGACAGGCTAAACATCTATTCCCCACAGCCTGTGTCTGTACCTACAACGGGCAACAATTCCATCCTGGGGACATCATCTACCACACAACAGATGGCATGGGAGGCTGTATCTCTGCACACTGCAGGGACAATGGTACCATCGAGAGGAGTGTTGACACCTGCAGTCCCACCACTCCCACACCCCCCACCACTTTCTCCTTCTCCACACCGCTTGGTAAGGCAGATATGACTGGTGGCAGAAAATGCTAGGTTTCCCGGGAGTGTCCCTCTCCATGCTGACTGGTACTGCCTCTCTTGGTGAATGTTATGTTAATGGCTAGCTCTGGATATTGGTGGCAGGCCATGGGGCTCAAGAAGGGGCCCAAGAGCTGGGCATCAGAAACAGGAGTACCCTGCTTTGTTCCACAGCAGAAAGGGACCAATCTCACTGACCCATTCTGACAGGCTTGGTGTCCATGGTACTGCTTTCTGTAGCTACTGGACATGACCTCAAGGGAGTGTGGGCCTTGAAAGGCGTTCTCTCTCTCAGTGACACATATATAGGCCAGATTTTAGACCATATTAAAAGGACATAAAGGCAGATTTATTAGTAGGCAGCTCTCAGGTGGGTTCACTGATCTCACAGGTGGTCAGTGGAGTCACGCACACATTCAGGCTAAAGCAAGGGGGTTTTATAGAGCTTAGGTGAGGAGTGATGACATGCCAGCTAGGAGCTGGGATTGTGCCCATACATGGTCAGAAACTGATCCTCTGGGAGGGCACTCTTGGGAGGGTTGCTGGAAACTTGGAGACGGGGAGTGATGACATGTTAGGACGGAGTTTTCTCCAAGGGGGTGGGGGAGTTTTCTCTGTGTGGGCGGGGTTGGGGGAAGGAGGGCAGACTGGGGTTTCTCAGCTTGTGTGGGACAAGCAGGGGTTCCAGGCAAACAGGCCTTCACTTAGAAGCCCCAAGTACAAGTGGTCCTAGGCTAGCCTTGGATGAACATGAGATTCTCCCAGAATTCATAGCTGCCTCCTTGCTTTACACTGCATGGATCACTAGGCATCCCTGAGGCCTCACCCTCTTGGGGGTTTGTAAAGTTACCCCAAACTAGTTTTGAGGTATTTAAGCATATAGACTCCTCTCAGGGCATGGCTTTAGAGATTAGTTTGTCTGTTCGTGGACCCACTAGGCTCCATTTTTGCCCACTGAAAGGCAGGTTCTGGGAAGACAGGCTGACTGACCTGGCTATAATGTTCAGTTTTCAAAGTTAACAGGACCAGTGTAGTGAGACACACAAGGCAGCTGATGAATGAGGAGCAAAGCTGTGACCAGGCAGACAGGCCCCAATGCTCACTCCTGTTACTTTTGTCCACAGTCATGACCTCAATGCGACCTTCCAGCACACACTCCAGCCCTACTCCGAGTGTAGCATACCCAGGGTCCCCAAGCAAGGCTGCGTCGACAACCAGCAGCATATTGTCTGTGAAGACCCCTGTCACAGCCCCTATCTTGACCACATCTACTTCGGCCTTCACCGTAACCACATCAGGTTGCCAAGAGGAGTGCCTCTGGTCTCCCTGGATGGATGTCAGCCGTCCTGGACGTGGCATTGACAGCGGTGATTTTGACACTCTGGAGAACCTCCGTGCCCATGGCTACCAGATATGCCAAGTGCCAAGAGCAGTGGAGTGCCGTGCTGAGGGTAGCCCTGAGGTGCCTCTTCATGCACTGCAGCAGCATGTGGAGTGTAGCACAACTGTAGGGCTAATCTGTTACAACAGTGATCAGGTGTCAGGGCTCTGTGACAACTACCAGATCAAAGTCCAGTGCTGTACCCCCGTCAACTGTCCAACCTCCAGTGGTCCTACCCAGACCACCCATCTGATAGTCTCCAGGACAACTACCATGGGGGACACAACCTCCACGGTCCCTGTCACCTCAACTGAGCACACATACAGCGCAGCTACCTCAGGTCCTTCTACCCATATCCCAGGTCCTCCACCCTCTTCCTCAGTACCTTCTTCATCTGCTCCAGCTCCATCTCCTCCTGCCCCAGTCAGTTCTACCACTGTTAAAACAACTCTGCCCACCACTAGCCCAACATCAGAGTCAACTTCAGCCACATCATCTGTATCCCTCTCAACCTCAGGGTCCACCATGGCCTCCTTTGAGACAACTCATGTGTGCAAACAGGAGCTTTGCAACTGGACCAGTTGGATAGATGGCAGCTACCCTGGGGCTGACAGAGACAGTGGAGATTTTGACACCTTTCAAAACCTGAGATCCAAAGGATACAAGTTCTGTGAGAAGCCACGAAATGTTGAGTGCAGGGCTCAGTTCTTTCCTAACACACCACTGGAGGAGCTGGGGCAGGATGTGACCTGCAACCGAGAGGAGGGTTTGGTCTGTTTGAACAAGAACCAGCTGCCACCCATTTGCTACAACTATGAGATCCGGATAGAGTGCTGCACAGCGGTAAACAACTGTTCTCCAACTTCAGCTACCACACATCCGCCATCACATGGAGTCAGCACGGAAACAAAGACCAACTGGACCACAACGATGTATTCCTCTTCCACCAAGGACACCAGTAGTCACTCAGCAACCACAGACACAAAGACTTGGGTCTCAGGTAGTCCACACACAACCACTCAACCAGTGACCACCCACTGCCAGCCGCAGTGCAACTGGACCAAGTGGTTTGACATTGACTTCCCGGTGCCTGG